GATATAACCTGGCCAGTCCATCACAGGACATAGACAGATATACTCACATTAGGGCCAATTTTCCCGAGAAGCCAACAAACCTATCAGTATGTCTTTGGTGTCTTTGAAACCAGAGCACCTAGCAAAAAACCCACGCAAACACAGGAAGAACATACAAACTCCACACAGACAGCACCCCAGGTCCAGGTTTGAACCCAGGGCCCCGGCTCTGCAAGGCAGCAACGCTAACCACCGCACTGCCATCCATGAAAAGATGGATGGTAAAAAGAAAAAATGTCAAAAAATACTTTCTCTCCTCCGGTGTTTAAAGTTTTGCATTTGCTTTTTTACTTGCATAGAAGCCTTTTAATATATATTTTCATGATTACTTTATAGAAAAGAGTAGCGTTTTACTCTACAAGGACATAGTTGTTACTTGTACCTACACAACATGCTTTGAAAAGTCATATCATTAAGCAATAATAAGCAGTGTGTTAATTTAGTTGTTAATGTGGTTCTCCATTGATGGTAGTTTTGCTGAAGTGGCCCCCAATTGAAAAAATAATGAAGAGCAGAGATCTAAATAGAACATTTTTAAGCGTGCAATTAGCTTGGTAGAGAATATGGCCTATTTTGACTTTCAGAAAACATTTCTCTCATCTGGAATTTCTCCTGCATTAATGGCTGTACTGAAGTTGTCTAGAACACTGTCTGAGCTAAAGGAGGTCCTTCAAGACATAAAGGCTTCTTTATTTTATCTGACATTTTGGCACCAATTAGGGCTTCTTCTGCTTTAAATAATATATAATGCCATTTAGAATTCAGAAGGGTTCATTTTTAAGAGATGTTAATACTGCCCTTTCTATCTCTTTTATTAAAAGATGACAAAGATCCCACACTTTGTGTGGGCTATTGTCCCTGACTCTTTGATTTGCTCTGCCTCCTAGCTACTGTAAAGCCAAGGTGCTGTCAGAATGGCAGTAGGTCTATATGACCAAATTACTACACCACAATCAGACAAGCTTTGTTAAAGGGAGATGAGTATCTGATACTGATAAGTTCAACGTCTCCTATATATTATACATGCAGATACAGATATCGCTTCCCCCTATGCTATTCTTCCATTGAACACTGAGAAGACTTTTGACTTGATCAGGAATAGTAATTTTTATTCTAAAACTTTTAATAGTTTTATAATTAATTCTTTTTCATTTTTTAGATAATGAATTTTGGTTCAGGTTTCATTAACATGATTAAGTATATATGTCGACCCTTCACTAATGTGGTGAATAGGCAGCAAGTGCTCACAGGTATTTCAAGGTGACAATTGTTTTGGCCCATTTACAACTATCGTTGAAGCTATTAGATTATTATATCAGTCAAAAATGTACTTGTTTCTATTAACAATAAACACTCCATATCATCCTATGCTAAAGATACACTGTTGTATCTACGGTATGGAATGTGGCCCAATTCTATCTTGTGCCTTACAGTAGCTTCTATGTTTTTTTTTATTGATTTTGGTATTATATCAGGGCATAAAATGAATTGGTCCAAGTCTGCATTAGTGCCTTTCCATTTTGGGATGGAGAGAACTAGTTTTTCTGCCACCAAACTCCAAAAATGCAGGACCCTGGTACTGTGATATAATCCTCAGAGCAAGCTGTCAACTTGGCTAACATTTTTTAAAAAAATGTAAATGCTGACTTGAAGAGATGAACGCATTTTCCCAATCCTCTTCTTGCTCACATCTCCACAATAAAACGTAATTTGTTTCCTTGTTGGTAACAGTTTTAGTTCTATGATTCTTATTGTTCCATTTTAAGCATACAGGGATAGACGGCAAACTCTAAATACATATCTACAGTAAAGTGATCCCATGGTACAGTATATGTTCAACCCTGCAGCCAAAGAGGTCCACAAGGTTTTAGCTCTGCCAAGCTCATTTTTTTCCCAGTCCTTTGTTTTCTTAGAACTGCTTCATTTAATTCCGACACTTCTGTATCTTGGCATTCACTTGAACACTGTCTGGTTTCCCTTTAAGACATCTGCAATTAAGGATAGATTTCACTTGTTCCAAGACTTCTAATCTCAAAACAATCTGATAAAACCCTGGCACCTCCTTTTTTCATTTATTTCTCCATTCTACCATGTGAGCCTATAGTGTTTAACAGACCCAATGTTTAATCTGGATTTGGGGGAAAAACAAAGGAATAGGCTTTCTTTATTAATATTTTCATGTTAGAGGTTTCATACAAATATTCAGGAGCTGTTAATATTTGGAATAGGGATTTGAACATTACAGATGAAGAAACTTTCAGGGCCAGTATAAATTTGGCTTCCAAAATCCATATTGTTTAAACAATCTACTCAAACTTTATTGTCCCAGGGACAGAACTGTGGAGGCTTACTGTGCTGTTGCCGACATGGTTAAATAATCTCTGACAGTCTGGTATGGAAACTCAGCCACTCAGGAGACAAAACAGCTGGATAGAGAGGGCCACACTGCTTCAAAAATAATTGGCTGTGACTTACCATCTGCTTCCATATCCACAACATGTTTAAATGGAAAAACCCTGAAGATTATCAGTGAGCACTCTCACCTAGCTTCTCCCCTGTTTGCGCTTCTTCCCATGGGAAGAAGGCTAAAATGTATCAAATCCAGAACAAAGTGGTTCTTGATGAACACCTACCTTGAGAAGATTCGCTTTCTCAACACAACACTGTTATAAAAGTATTTATGGAAGTATTTATTGGCAAATGTGTGGATTCTATCTTCACTGTAATGTAGCATCATGTTGTATTCCGTATATGATAGTTGTATGTGTGTTATTTATTATTTTTCTTTCTCTTCTTGTATTTTTTTTTGTTTCTCTGTTATTTCTGGCACACCACAAAATATTCCTAACAACCCAAAGGTTTAGTTTGGCAATAAAGTTGACTTTCATTGTAGAATACCAATATTGCAGCTATCTAATCTTATTTTAACGTTCTTTATTTTATAAACCATTAATTGTTAAACCCATTAAAAATAAGAAAGCTTTAGGTAAAGTGCAAAATATAAGACTTATCCTCAAACAAATTTATGTGAAAACAATCTTTCCTATATACAAGTCTTAAAAGCACAAAGAGAGTACTGAGGCAAAATTACTTCAGACTGCAGTGAGGCCATTTAAAGGCTTACTAAAGGGCTTACAAACCTGTGGCACACAAGACCCCTGCACTTGTGAGGTTGCTACAGACTGACAGCAGATACATAGATAATTTACAAAGCAATAGGATAAAGACATAAAACTTAAAACACAATAAATGTATTGCAATCGTAAACCAAATTAATTAATTCTATAGCTGATAAACTGTCTTAAGGTAATTAAATTCCTATTTTAGGTGTATTGATGAAGCATTAAATTAAGCCTAGGTCTTGAATCGGATGCATCTCATATATTTGGGTAATATTAGAGAACACCTAAATGCCCTGAATATCCATATGCAGGTTTGAAATAATACATTCTGTACAAACAAATCAAGAGTTTATTTTTTTAGAATAATTTAATACAACAAAGCAGCTTCTCATATTAAACCAGTACTTGTCAAATCTGCCACAAAGTCTCCAGCTACACATCAGGCATTGAAAAGCTTTCCTCGTTCATTCAATCAACAGTAGAAATCTAACTGAGCATTGTGGGCTGGGTGCTCAGCACACCACATCACTCATGGCAAGTATAATGTTGGCACACAATGACAACCACTGCTACCACTTTGGTTTTACAACAAGAATACAAGAGGCCTCAGACCTTAACATTTAGGGCTGGGTAGACACCCAGCAACCACTTTTTCCCCTGATAAGTGCAAGATAATAGGTACAAGGTACAAGTGAATCTGAAGTATTAGACGGGTGTCACTGAGCTGGAGGAAGCAAAATGTGAGAAACAACTATGAGTATATGAGCAGACTCATAACATTCTTCAACTAGACTGTAGGATAAATATATGTTCTTAAATATATTGCTAAAATTAAATCAAAGAAAGTCATGACAAAATCATACTGTTACATAGACTAATATAGTTACACGTCAGAATATCCAGTTAAATTGTGACCACTGTGTTACAGGAAAAATACTGCTGCACCAGAAAAAGTACAAAGAAGAGCAACCAGACTTATCTTTGGCCTGAAGCAAATGTCATATTCAGACAGCATAATGCAACTGAATAAATTTAGCACAGACGTTTGCTTCGAGTATTCACAATCCGTAAAGGCACCAACCACTCAGTAGACCCCTTCAAGGTAAACAGAATCACAAAGATCCAGGAACGCAAGTGGAAAACTGAGGGCCATTTAAGACCAAAAAAACAGGATACAAAGCTTTATGAAGAGGGTTGTGGCAATCTGGAACCAATTTCCAGAACAAGTGGATGTAGCTTATTCCACAGGAAGTCTAAGGACAATGAATCTAATACTGAATTCTAAGAACATAAAGCTACTATGTGGAAGTGCACTTAAAACCAGGAACAGAAGGCTGAAGCAAAAGTACGGAAGTAAGTCACATAGCCATGTTGTTGGAGGTGATACCCTGGCATCTTTAAGGAAACTACTTGATAAGATCCTTGGATCAATTAGTGTCTGGCCAAACGGCCCATTCTCATTTGTAACCATTTTTCTGTTCTTACATAGTGGTAACAAAGTTCTTTTTGGGTGTATCACAAATTGCTGAAGCATCTTGCCTGTTCAGCAATAGGCACTGCCTTACATGTCATCAATCACCACAAAACTCATGAAGCCAGCTTCTTCTCACCAAATAAGGGAAGAAAACTATAAATGCCAAGATGGGAAGAAACAAATCTTGACTGGACGATCTACAACACACTTGGCAACTACTGAGAGTCATTGTGAAGATCATCCAACCTCAATGGATGGACTTGGTCAACTTGTTAGCTCTTTTACATAATCATCTTCATTTGTTTGATTAGCTTATAAAACAGTTTGATTAATAGCCATCAGCAACTCTCTCCACCTGTTCTTACCTGCCTATCTGGAATGTGGGCTCTGTGGCATAGACCATGCCGGTGAATCCAGTGTGCTCAGTGATATACGGAAGAGCCATCATGCAATGGTAATTGGAGATAAGGATCACATCAATAGTAGATAGGTCCAGCAACTCTTTCTGTGGTTGAGAAAAAAAGTATAGGCAGTATCACCTATTATGTTTATTTCTATAAGGCAGTCAAATAAGACTCATTTTATACAATGTATTCATGCATAAAGAACATCTTTATTAATTTATTGTTGGAACATTCAAAATATCAATATCAAGGTGGGGACCTGCTATTTACACAAAAATAATAACTGTAATATTTTATTACAAATATTCCTTGGGTTCTACCTTTAAACATATTTTAGATATTTTTGGGGACATGATTTACCTGAAGCTTACAACTTTTCTTAATGAAAGTAGAGAAATTGTGATATGGAGTTTGGGTTATGCTATAGTACAGGGTAAATTCTGAAATGTACAATTAAAAGTTTAAAATATCTGGATTTTATATATTACAAAGGACTAGAATATGACAGGAGAAAAAAAAAACTGCAGTTCTGCACCTCAGGGAGGCAGAATTCTGGAAGAGAGTCCACAAACACTCTGCCTGCACATTCCTTCAGCTCCTGAAAGACAGAGAGGATGGAGGTTATGATGATGCAATTTTCCCAACTCTTCCTATCACTAAATGATACACTAACTTAAACTTTAAGTTAAAGTCCAATATCCAGACTTTAATGTGCATCACTGTTAAGATCTTGTACATAATCAAGTAAGCTAGTTTTCCTGTAATTATATGTGATAATTGTTATAAACTCTGAGCTCTATGTATTTTCTACCTGATGGTAATAGAAAAACTCCTCTTACTGTTTTAAGGCAATTTTAATAGAAATCAAATCGTGCAGAGATCCAAAACAGTCTTTTTTCATTTTCATTCCAGTTGAGCTCTGATATGTCTAATTTGGCTCAGCTGGATCAATCTTGGATTTTGAAAGTGGTGCTGGGCTGATGTATGGGACAAAGCAGAGAGGGCCATTTATTTAATACACGTTTGAAAACAACAAAATGATTCACTTAATTTTAAACAATTATCATTATAATTGTTTGGCCGGTTTTCATACAAACAATCATAATGTAAATACTTGAGAATACCAATACAAAAACTCAAAAATCATCTTATATAAAACTAGAACACCAATCTATGCAAAAATAAAGCTTCATAAATATAATATTTGTAAGTTGTGTCTTGAGCAGGTCATTTCTGCAAACCATTTTACATTATTATTTTGTTTTCTACAACCACTGTGGAGGTGACACTTCATGTGAATTCAACTGTGTGATGTTTATAGGTCTCATTACCTTTTCCAACAGAGTGTTCCCATCCTTCGACACCCAGCCAGGCAGCCTGGACAGTCTTTGACTAGGAGACAGAAATATATTAGGGTTTACAGAGCATTGTAAATTATATAGTTGTATACAACAAACTGTCCCATTGACTTTCCCCCAAAAAACAATGTAACCTCAGCATTAACTTCTCAGTCCAGCTTCATAGGCTTTTCCTGTCTTTTGCTATTTAGAAAAAAGCTACATTTCTGGTGGGTGAAGAAACATGCGGAGGAAGTATTCTGGCTTTAATTTGCTTTTGAACTCTTTCTTCACACAGCTGTACAAGCTGAAACACCAGAATATATAAACTATTAATAAAACTATCTGGGCTTCTAAAGCTTTTCTTCTTGCTATAAATAACAAATCTCTTAAGATCAACAAACAATCCATTCATTTAAGGCTCTCTGTTGGAATAAACATCTGATAAATAGGACAGACTAAAATAGAAGACAGTGATGTCTAGTCTTTCAAAAACATGTAAAAGTACAGGTGTGTCCTTATTTTAAATTCTTAAATCTTTAACAAATGTGCTTCACTTCAGAATAATTTCACTGAGAGGTAATACTTACAAATACTTTTTGCAAAATTTAGTAATTCAGACAGAATTACTAAATGATGATGACAAATACAGCATTTACTGTAGTTTAATATAATTAAGTCCTATCATTAACCATTGAGTTGTACCAATCATGGCCTCCTAATAAGCCCCATCTATGGATTGGCTTCATTACTCTGTTCTCCTCCCCGCTAATAGCAATGTGAGCGTTCTGGCGCACTATGGCTGCCGTCGCATCATCCAGGTGGACACATTGGTGGTGGTGGAGGGGAGTCCCCATTACCTCTAAAGTGCTATGAGTGGAGTGTCCGGAAAAGCACTATATAACTGTAAGCTATATAACTAAGTTTTATACTGGCATAATGTTGGGATAAATCACAGCTAAAGTGTAATACATTAAAAATAATAGTTAATAAAAATGTTAGAATACAAAATATCAAGCTTTCATGTTTGCATAGTCCACCCTAATTCATCCAATTTAGGGTCACTGGAGTGAGAGCCTACCCTGGCAAGCAACAGGCACAGGGTGGGATAAATGCTGGATGGATCTCCAGTCCACGGCAGGACATACACACTCACACACTAGGGCTAATATTAACATATCAGTATGTCTTTGGACTAGAGCACCCAGGGAAAACCCATGTGAACACGGGGAGAACATTCAAACTCCACGCAGATAGCACCCAAGGAACTAAACCCAACGCCCCAGCACTGCGAGGTAGAAATTCTAATCACTGCACAATAATGCTGCCCTATTTTGTTATGCATTAATTAAATCACAAAAAAAATGTCAGAGAAATTATTATTATGTTCTACCTAATGCAAACTACCCAATCTCTCCTCTTTTTGTAAACCAATTATGTATGTGATTTGTTTATTGATAAATAAAAGAATTACATAACTACAATATTTCCATCGAGTGACTCCAAACCTGAGCTGTAATTAAATTTAAAATACAGCACTAGAGTGCAAATTACAGCTAATGACTAGTGCGATTGAGTGGTAGTGATTACAATTCTAAACATTAACAAGGAACATAAACAATTTTTAAAGGTCTTGTATTTATAACTTTCATTGTCACTGCCATTAAACAGACTTGATTTGTATTATATTACAATAAAGTAACATCAAGATTTGTGAACAAAATCAAGATCTATCATTACTTAACTAAACAAACAAATGTCTTTATGTGAAACCAAAAATTAGATACAGCTCATTTTACTTGAAACTAACAAAACTATGAGTTTTGACAATGAATGTTGGCCATTTCTTTGAGATTGTTTTTTTCTATACTTCTAACCAAATCTTTGTTCATTCAAGCTCCAGGTTTTTAAAATGTTGATTTCCAAATAAGCATTATAATTATTTTACAAATGCTGACTGTTTTATTTTTTCTCCACTATTTGGATGTCCAGTTGTTTGCGAGGAATTGTAAAGTCTACAAATAAAAAAAAAAAACAACTAGATCGCACGCTCCAACAAATCTTCAGGGTCTTTGTTTAGAGTGGTTTGATTTATATAAATATCGCCATAGGAGAAGTGGGCTTTTCAGCCAACCATCAGATCACATTTTATCCTCTCAATCTAACAGCTTTGTAAAATATCTTGGCTTTCCTGAAGAAATCCAACCCTCTTTACTTATTCTCCACAAACAATTCACAAAGGAAAAAGGGAGAACATGCTAGGTCAACTTTATATTTAAAAGATAACACTCACTCAATTTTGAGGATGTTTCTGGGAAATTAAAATTACATAGAACAAGAAGAATATGCCAAATTCCTTTGTAAAACATCACAACATCATCACTTTCAATAGTTGCCCGTCCAATTCAGGGTCACAGTGGCCCTTCCAGAGCCTATCCCTGGAAGCACTGAGCACAAAGCAGGCTACACTCTGGATGGGATGCCAACTCATTGCTGGGCACACACTCCCAGTAAGGCAAGTGTTACAGAAGCCAGTGAACCTACCAGCATGTCTTTGGAGCACGGGATGAAGCCGGAGGACCCACAGGAAATCCACGCAAACACAAAAAATCATGTAATCTCCACACAGAGATCATGCCAGGAATTAAAACCCAGGACCCCTGCACTGGGAGGCAAACATGCTATATACTGTGTCACCATGCTGTTCTTTGAAAAACGTTTCACCAATAACATGTGTGAATTTTACTATGAAGACTGTATTTTTATTTTTTTTGTTGATGTTCTTACCTATGTACTAGAGGCAAAGGCAGGAAGTGCAGCGCTGATGTCATGTCAAGCCCACAGTCCAGCATGATGGTTGTAGATTTGAATTTGAGGACATTGCAGGGCAAGGTTGGATGACCAGACAAGCAGTACTACACAAATACAGGATAACACACATCATGTTTTTAAACCATGAGAGGCAATTGCATTTAAAAGTATTAATCAATAAGCTATGGCAGAAAAATGTTTTTTTTTTATGAGCTTCAATTCTTAAATTTAAATCCAACTACTGGGATATTCTTCCTTTATTCTCACGACGTTAGTGATGACATACATGATAAAGTTGATTTATTACAGTCCATCAGACAAACTGGAACAGACATCGAACCATTTACAATTGATTACGTAAAAGAAGAACATTTTTTTAAAGCGGTGAACAAATCTTTTCCTGTAAGTACAAAACAAAGTACAGAACAGTAAAATACTAAATTTGCTTGCAAAACATCATGACGTTGAACTGTACTTATTTTCATCGTTCAGCAACACTGTGCTATATAAAAATAATTACTTGCAGACGTGAAGCGCTTTATGAAAGGGACCGACTCCATCTATTAAAGTGCAGCAATTTGATTACACACAATAGATAATGTGAAGAAGTACGAAACTGCTTTGTCATCTGAATTAAAACAATTGCAGAAAGGCCAGATTTAAAATAAACCAAAACTGAATTAAACCAGGACACTAAGCTTAATACGTCAGGTTTTGCGTGCACTAGTCTTTTCCTTAATGCATATACTGTACATTAGTAAAGTGGTAAACATTAGATTATTTCTATTCAACACGTGTCCAGCTTTTGTAAAATGTAACGTGAATTGTCCAAACGAACTTCAGTCACCTTTTCCTGCTAATAACATAAAAAACGTTCCAGTTTCTCTAAAGTTCCCTCATTCAACTGACCCATGCTTATTGCAGCCTGGACTTTGCAACAAGAAATGAAATAACTTAATTGTATACTCACTAGTTTCATCCTGAATTGTTATGTCAGATGACCTAGATGTACAGTATATATTTACAATCCCCACGCCAAATCTTTTGGATTTCAAGAGTCAAAGTTGATAGTTCACTTCAACATACTTCCTGTGGTCACCTCCTCTGGGAGATGTAGTTTATTTTTTAATTTTCACTGCCGGGTAGCTAGAGCAAAGGGTGAAAAGGGAACAGAACGCAGAGCGACGTGTGACGAGTGTTTCTGTCGGCCGCTACTTTGTAGTCCCGCTGGGAGTAGGTCCATGACGTTAACGGGAATTGTAGTTCTCGGTGGAAGCCTGTCGCTTCAGATTGAGAGGGACTCGGTTTTATACTTTGTGAGAAACTACGGTTCCCGACGAACCTCATTCTGCTTTCTGATGTTGATGTCAATATGGCTGCTGTCAGACAGACAAAGGCAAGTCAGTCTAGTCTCTGACTGAAATCAAATTAGAAGGAAAAGGACAGCAAGGGTTTCAAAAAATAACTCGTGTATGTTTTGTTTCGGTGCTAAATTCGCGGGATCACTCTAGGAATTTATTTGTATTCCTGTTATTAAATGGTGTGGTGGACGGAGGCCCAAGATAAACTGATAAAGGTAAGAATTATGTGTCAATATGCAGCGTCTGGATTAGTTTACACTGTTCGAATGATATACAGGTCGAATTTTGATCAGGTGTATTTCAGTTTTAATGAAACGTGTATTGGTTGCCTGTGTACACTGACTCCGATCTGAACATAAAGCCAGGTCTTTTGAAACTGCAAAAGTAAACATGATTAACTATCATAAGTGTTATCAGTGTTATGCTTAGTGGGGGAGTTATCTTCAGATTTTTGTTCGCACAGTATGTGCTTCTCAACACAGAATGTCCTTTGAGAATGCATTGTCAGCTAGATGTTCATCACGATGCCATGTCTATAAAATGCAAACTAATTCGTATTTTGGGAAGAATAAGCGACCTGCATTTCTTCTGGATTATCAACTCGAAATGCAGTAGTCCTAAAATGATCCATAATTTACACATTTTTAAAGTGCAGCACGCTAGGTGTTGCAGTGGGTGGATGGTGTTTCTTACTCCAGCAGCCGTAAACATTGTACCCTGGGACGTGTGTTTATTTTGGTGGTGCAAGTATGTGGTAGCTTTTGGGCGGTGTGGGCGTTTTGGTGGTCTTGAAGTATAATGACGTAACTCATTTCTGAATGTGTGACGTCTGACCGAGCGGAGGTGTATGACCTGTAATACTAACTCCCTAACGATTATCATTCATGTTCATCATCGTCCTAATAGTGTCAAGTATATTTAGTCTGACCTTGTTTATTGAATCAACACATTTTTTCTCAGTAATATATGTTCAAATTAATTGCTATAGATCAAGGGAATATTGAGTGGGCTGTTCTACATAATGCATCGTTTAGATGCATCAAAAACAGAAGAAAAGTAAAGTTGTCTGTTTGAAATGAATTGGAATGAATCAGTTTTTGACTCGTTTTGACTCTTACATATCATTGTGACCTTATGATAATTGCTCTGTACAGTACAAATTAGAAATAAATCTCAATGCATAGTGTGTACAGAATGGAGCAGTCATTGTACCTTTAGCAAACAATGTTGTGTTGTCTAAAATACAGCAGTAAGTGAAGAATTCTTCACTGATAACTGCGAAATCCACAGTTCTGGACGTTTTGACATATGTGAGTTTTGCTAATTCTGTTTTGTTGTTTCTCTTTGTAGAACACTGTGAAAACTTTTTGTGTTCAATAATTTCCAGAGGTGTACTGGAGTTAGACTGTAAGATCAGAAAATAATGCAGTTAATGTTAGACCTGTTCAGAGATAAAGAGAATCGCACCATTTTACCTCAGTGTGGATTTGCATTTGTATCTTGAAGAAAAATCAGCATGTCTAGTCAGCCTTTCCTTTAAATGGCTGTCTGCCAAAGTGAGTCACGGGCCGTATGCTCCACTTGTAAACGTGAACTTCTACAGGTATCCAGGCTGTAACTTGCCCCCATTTGGAGAACAGTTGGTGGAAAAAGGGCATGTTTGAAGACACTAACCCACCTTGATCTGAAATTATGATATCACATCTGTCTTGACCAATTGTGTGGTGCCATTAACAAATTGGTGCTGTGTCACTTCCTAAACTGACTGGCAGCAGTGTGTGACTTACTTCTTTTAGGTGAACTGTCATTGCATTTTGTCATCGTTTACCCTCTGTGATCTGGTCTGTGTCCTGACTTGAATTTAACTAACATATCTTCAGATATCGATGGGCAATTTCATAGGCACTGTCTATGCTTACTTTAATGCTTGTTGGATCATGTCACAAATGGGTTTCATGGGATTATATTACTCTTTACCAAGGCCATAATAAAGAACTGTTCTCCTCAAAAATAACAGCATAGCGTTCTTTGCCGAAGTACATGGGTACTATTCTTAGCCAGCAGATCCCCTTACAGAAAATAAAGTGAACATTGCAAGACGTTACTTTAGTAGTTACAATACCATCAAAGCCTAAACTAGAATTCGTCAAGGCTTGGAAACTTCTTTGAAACTGGGGCTTTAAACCCAATAAATCTCAAAGCGCTTTACATACAGGAGAAGACCCACTTCTTCTACCTGTGTAGCACAGTGCCCACCTAGGCAGCAATCATGTGCCAACAGCTCCACTATACAGCAGTTCAGGGATTGAGTTGAGAAACAGCCTCACCAATTCAGTTTAGAGGAAAATTTAGGAAAGCCAGACTGTACGTAATCAAAGTCTACTTTAGACAACATTGTTAGCATTCCTACCTTTTCTAAAAATGTCATAGGATCTTTGGTTTTTGTCAGGACTTCTATTTCAAGTATCTGAATGTCAGCAAATCCTAGAGCACAGTTTTAACAGGTCCCCATACGGGGACATTGGTTTGGAAATTCTGGCCCAGAGGGAAAAGTGTGATCTATTCCTTCACCAATTCCACTTACAACAGCAGTCTGGTTTTCTTTGGGGTTTCCTATGAACAGGCTCAAACTCCATAGCTTCATATATCTGCCTAGAAGGCGACAATGCTGCTCCTTCAAGATAACAAAGGCCCTTACTTTATCAAATGGCATTATGTGAACATCCAGCCATAGAAGTCGAACCTTTGCTTTAAATTCCAGCAGTGGCACATGCATTACAACTCATTTTACAGACCCAACTGCTGTACTTGAGTACTATCTTCCAGGAGCAACCTGAATTTCCTCAGAACCCCCTCACCCAAGTATTGATCAGGCTCAGCTTTGTTGAGTTGAGATGTGGTGAGATCAGCTCTGATTTTTCTCTTCAGTAGTTCTTTGATGATCGTCTGGGGTGTTGCAGTCTGCTGACAGTGGTAAATGACGATTGTCTGCCAGTGTATGAACAATAAGCAAGATAGCTGTGTTGTGTTTTTGGACCCCTGCTTGTTGGAGGCAGTTACTATAAGCGCACATGACTGCAGCACATACTGCAGCTGCATTTCACAGAGGATGTTTATGTTTTTTGTTCCCTGAGAAGTCTAGATTCATCACTGTAATTATCTTTTATATTCCCCGGGAACTTTGCCAGTGTATTAACTTTCCCCATTGTATCTCATCACCTTTCCGTCAGTGCTTATCGCCGTCCTCTTGTTGGATATGCGTAACCCTCCTTTGGGTACCATGCAAAGTCCATACTAATGGATTTTGTAAATCAAATAAAGCGATGAAATAAACTGATCTATAATTATTAGAACATTTTCCATTTTGTGTGCATGTGTGGTGGAGGTGTCCCATGTGGATATTGCGATGGATGACGTCGGCAAATGCCTTCAACCCACTTCTGTGCACAAATTGCTAGCCTAATCTCTTAATATTGGTTTATTTTGAATTCTGTATTAAAAGTTCCTCAACCTCAGGAATGAATCAATATAATGTGTTTGTGTGTTCATTTACCGTATACTTAAAATATCTCAAAATACCACTTTGGTTTCCATAAAGTGAATTTTATTCATTTGACACCCTGTCCGCATTAATGAAAACAATATCTTTATTTCATAGCTTCAGCAAGGGTAAGATCATTATGTTTAAGGTGACTGTGTTTTGTGCCTGTTTATTGTATTTTGAAGGTAGTTTAAGGTTTCAAATCATAAAATTGCCTCATAATATGAAATTTGTTGATTTCCTCTCAATAATATCGATTTTAAGAAGCCAGACCACATTGTGCTTTCTGTTTCATGTTGTGTGCTGTTTTGAGTTTATGGTGGTAAAAAAATTGGTACGGTACTCCATTAGAAGTGAAATAGCCTCTAATCTTTCATGAAAAGGATTTTGTATAAGTAAATGTAAACATCAGCATTGTTGTTGAATGAAAGTGTTTCCTTGGTTACAGGAATTCTCTTGCAATAACTTACAATAAGTACAATCTTCTACAGTCTGAACTGTAAGATGAGCAATTCCGAAAGAGATTCACAATATGTTTTTCATAATAAGTAAGATCAAGTTCAGAAGAAATTATATTTTTATTTCAAATAAATAAACAAACTTCATGTCCTGTGAGCAGAGAGTCACAATTTTTAGAAACATAGTTTAGCAGAAAACACAAGGCCATGTCAGTATAAATTTAATGTTCAAAGATACAAGCAGAACTGAGGTCTATGGGTATTTTTGGTCTAATTGTGTTTTTCAGTTACAATCTATCTTTATAGTTCTTGCCCCTGCAACCAGAGTATAGGGGAGAAAGAGGCAGCCACCTACCTCATTCGGCTAAAGTCCAGGGAAACAATTTTTAAGAGTAGCTCCTGGAGAAAAAACACACAGACACATGCTAAAAAACAAACTCTGCATGGACAGGTACTTGAGGCAGAAATAAAACCCAAGATCCTTGAGCTGTTAGAAAGTAGCAGTAGTCATCCTACATAGTCTATTTAAGTTGCTGCATCCTTTTCTTAATTTGATTGGTTTTACTGTAATTTGATGCAACTACTTGATCTCATGCCCTTATGTTAATAGTATTAGTTGCTATTAGTGTATGAAGTAGAATTTTGACATTTTACATTTAGGATACTAGTACTGAAAGCCAGAAAGTGGCATGTCTCTTTTCACTTTTTGCTGGCAGTTATTCTTAACTGTTTACAGTGGTTATTTTTACACACAAAATTGGTTGGTCAGCATCAAACTAATGTTATTTGCATGGCAATTAAAGACTCTATTCTGTAATTCCTTAGCTGTTTGAGGGAGAATGCGCAAGGATTAAGACAGTTTGAAGTAATTGCATAGCTGCAGCATTTTATATGACCATAACCAGAGCAAATATTTGAATCATGATCAGTTTTCTGGTTTTGGCGTTTTCTTTTAAAAGCCACTACAGTATTTTCTCTACATTAAATCTGTAGAATGTACAGTGGTGCAAAAAAGCGTTTGCCCCTTTCCAGATTTCTTATTTTTTTGCATGTTTGTCACACTGAAATGTTTCAGATCATCAAACAAATTGAAATATTAGACAAAGATAACACAAGTTAACACAAAATGCAGTTTTTAAATGAAGGTTTTATTATTAAGGGAAATAAAAATCCAAACCTAAATGGCCCTGTGTGAAAAAGTGATTGCCCCCCCTGT